GCTATGCTATCACCAGAGCTGTTTATTTCCACCTAGGCTGATGATGTGAGACTGTTCTATTCTCCTGGGCACTGATTGGCCTGGGAATGTCACTCTTCACCCATCCTCTTGGGTCTGGACCTGGATGATCTTTAAGGTCCCTTCCAATCTAAGCCATTCTATGATTCCTCACAACTGCACAGTGGAAGATCCAAAGCAACAAGCAGCAGCCCACATAGCCCTGAAAGCTGTTTCCTTCTGCTTGACTGGTAATACCTGACCTGCACGCTGATTCCATAGCACCGTAATGCTCTCAGTTCAGTGAAACTTGCACCTTAAAATGGCTTTTAAGGTACTCCACCCCCTCCGTTACAATGTGGGTTCCAGCAGGATTCCGGTGCGACCTTTGGATCTGAGCGCTGCCCTCAAAAGACTCCCGGCCAGCTCGGCCCCGCCGCTCGGCTCGCGGCAGGAGGAGCTGCGGGGCGGTCCCGGGGCAGGGCGGAACCGGGGCGGAACCGGGGCTGCCCCATCGCACAGAGCCCGAGAGCGGCGGCCGCGCGGTGACGGCTCCCTCCCACGGCCGCGCCCGGCTCTGCATCCCGGCTCTGCATCTCCGTTCCTCATCCCCTCCCCGCATCCCGGCTCTGCATCCCTGACCCTGCACTCCTCAACTTCTTTCCCCGTTTCACCTCTCTTCCAGCCGTACAGAATCAGAATCGTTTGAGTTGGAAGGGACCTTAAAGGCCATCAGGTCCCACTCCCTGCAGTGCACAGGGACACCCACAGCTCCAGCAGTGCTCAGAGCCCCATACAGCCTGACCTTGGTTGTTTGCAGGGATGGGGCATCACCACCTCTCCGTGCAAGCTGTGCAGTGCCTCACGTGCCCATCTGCTTTCCCTAAGCCTTTCCTCCTCTTATCATACCGAACATTCACTGAAAGGCACTGATTATTCCTCCTTTATTCTCTGTTTGTATGCAGTCCTCCACAGCCCATGTGCATAAGGACACAGGGACAAGTTGTATATTCAGGACAGCAGAGAGCATCTCCCTCAGTGCAACCACGCAGGTGGATGGTTATTTCTCACTGCATTGATCTCTCCCTCTTCACATCTCCTGGCCCTCCTGTAGCCGGGGAAGGGATATCGTAGCAGTTCAGATGGGGGACTGGGAAGGAACGAAGCATGAAGGAATTTCAGCAGCATCCTGACAAATTATAAACTCCTATCTCAGGGTACACAAATCATTTTCCTGACACTTAGTTGGTAACGAGTCCCCCAACCTCCAGGGGCTCCTGAAGGAGCAATTAACGCAATTAACTACTGAACTCTACTACATTGTGATGCTATGGCACGGCACGGGGTGACATATTTCTTGTTCCTCACATATGGCATAGTGGGAGCCTACTAAATCCAAAGTGAGCAGAGAATCTCAATGTTCATTCCTGAAACTAAAGGTATAAGAAAGAACTTCAGACCCTTGCAATGTCTGCTTGGCCTGATTTTAAGAGGCGTTTGGTCAGGAAGATGGAGAAATCAGGGAGAAGCAGGTCCCACAAAGTCCCACTGGTTGGTGTTTTGAAGCAGTGCACCCTTTGCACTCATTCTGTTGGAAAAGCAGTCTGTGCATGTCTTGAAAGAACAGTAACTTTCCTCTGCTCCCATCAGCTGCAGCAGTTTTAGGGGAGCAGATGCTCCCTGCCCTCCAACAGTGAGTAAGTCATGTCTCAAACTCCCTTAGCTGTGCTGGAAATCCCCAGAGAAAAAACCAAAGCCGGCTTTCCTGATGACAGTCATATCAATATAGTGTGTTAGTGTACAGAGATGTGGAGCAGGATAGAAAAAAAAGCCCTTCTAGTCCTTATTTCAAGCAACAAGAGCAGCAAAGGTAACAAGAGCCACTGGAAATGCACAGCCACTTGCATTACTGATATCCTTCATACAAAGACAACATTTATACAGAAACGTGGTGCCATGTGGGGGCTTTACTCTGTAAAGCAGAAGACCCCCTGCTGCTCAAGCAGACTGTGCAAGCTGCAGCCTTGCAGCTTCTGCCAGGTGAGAACAGCCTTGTGCCCACACACACAAGCAGCTGGTGCTGCATGGAGCCCCTCCAGCCCTCAGCTGCTGCAAGGTTTTCCCTGCATCTCTTCACAACAACAGTCACTGATGTGGCTGCACTTCACACTTTGAAAGCTGCACTTACGTTCGTTGATGTCAGCAAGTTTGATATGTGTGTGTTTGAAGCGTTTATTTGGTGACATCAGCTGTGTTTCTGAGAAAGCAAGTTATGGGAAAAAAAAAGGTACAGAGACATTTCCTGTCCTCGCTCTGCTGAGGCAGCTTATAGCCATTTTCTAGTTTTATTTCTCAAGTTACTCCTTTTATCCAAATCATTTCAGCACAAGCCAGCGGAGACTGAAATTGCCAGAGCTGCAGGACTGATCGATGGATGTGTTCAATCACATCGCCTAATTGGCTCTGCACTGGTAGGAGTGTAAATCAGAAGTGATCCCGCTGAAGTCAATAGGATTATATCTGCTTATAAATGAGGTCAGAAGGGGGGAAAAGCAAAGCCTCAGCGGGGTCTAAGCAGCAAAAAGCCCCACTGGTTGCATGTCCACCATCAGACTGCTTGAAGGAAACCTGCTGATAAAGAAGGAGCCTTAAAGGAAGTTATCATCTGGGCTATTTTATCCTAAAGGAACTATTGGGAGATAATTCACTTTTGCCTTCCTGAGGCCCTTTACCATAGGCTGAGCATCCACAGTGGGCAGCCCAGAGGGAAAGGGACAGGCTGTTGTGCCCATAACACAGCTCTCCTCCACCACTCCTGTTTGATAGTGCTGCTGCCCCACTGACACCTCCACAATTTCCACCCACAGTGCAAAATGTTTGCGTTGAAGCAGCAGGCTGTGTCTGCTGGCCAGGAGGAACCTGGATGCTCCAGGACAGGGCTGGACCTGCTGCCAGACAGGTCCAAGGAGAAGAGGATCCAACTGGGTACTCTCCTCACTGCTTGCTGCCTCAATTTCCCCACTTGTGAGGTGGATATAGATTCAGGACAGTGAAATGAGGAGCTGGAAGTGGCATGAAAAAACAAATCATCTACTCAGAGCCTGCTAACCCAGCAGCAAAAGCCCCACAGATGGTGTTTTTGAGGATCCTCCTCATCTCCAAAAACAGAAACTTCAGAAACATCTCTTCCCTAATTTCATGAGCTCTTCATATATGTATACATATATATATATATTCATCTAGTACCTGACCAATCTGTTGGCCTTCTATGATAGAGTGATGGCATCATTAGACAAAGGAAGATTAACTGATGTCATCTACCTGAATTTCTGCAAGACCTTTGAAATGGTCCCACATCACATTCTTATCTCTAAACTGGAGAGGTATGGATTTGAAGGCTGGTCTGTTCAGTGGATAAAGAGTTGGTTGGATGGTCATAGCCAGAGGGCTGTGGTCAATGGCTCCGTGCCCAGGTGTCCCCCAGGGTTCCATCTTGGGACCATTGCTCTTCAACATCTTTATCAGTGACACAGACAGTGGATCAAGTACACCCTCAGTGAGCTTGCTGACGACACCAAGCTGAGCGGTGCAGTTGGTGTAATAGAAGGAAGGGATGCCATCCAGAAGGACCTGGACAGCTTGAAAAGTGGGCCCATGTGACACTAATGAGGTTCAACACGGCTAAGCGCAAGGTGCTGTGCTCAGGTCAGGGCTCAGCACTTTTTAGCAATACTGATCAGCTCATTATTAATTAAACAAGCCCTAATTTTGACTAACTGGCACCACTGGAGGTGTAGTTTCCCCTGGATGTTTGCTCAGGAGGATGAAAATGAGAAACACAGTTTAAGAGCCCTGATCTTGCTGAGACCAAGCAGACCCTTACAGACTTCACAACACACACGTCCTGAAGCTGATAAAGCTAAAACCTGCATGCTCTAAATGTGAGGTGCCCATTTCTGGAGTGCTCACTGCCCTGGGATCAGTAACACCCCGTGATTTCAGTGGTTTGCACTGGACAATTCCAGGATGGAAGAGAATATTTTCAGAGGTTGAAAGTCAGTCCAGAACCATGGGGATATGGCACTGAGGGCCATGGTCAGTGGGCATGGTGGAGGATGGGTTGGGGTGGGACTTGACAACCGGAGAGGTCTTTTCCAACCTTAATGACTCTATGATTCCACATTTCTCTTTGTATTTTCCTCTATAAAATTAATCTGTCAATAATTTCCTTCTGGCACCTTTTAATATGTGATTCCGTGTTTATGAAACGTAGATGAGTTTCCAGAGAGAAATATTTGCACAGAAAGAATAAGTCACAAACATTCACTTTGTGACAGCTATAATTCCTTTCCCCTGTTGCTCAGGCACTCCACCAACAATGACACAGGTTTGCAGGAAGTTGCTATCATATCTTCACACCAACACTTAATTAGCTGACGTTGCATCTCAGCTACTGCTTGCAGATTGCTGCAAACCCATCCATAGAGGGCTGACAGCTGAGTCGGGAACACAGACCTTCTGAAAGTCAGCCTTAGTGCCCACCGGTGTATAGCTAAGAATAGAGTGTGATCTCATTGGAAACCTTAATGCAGTCAGTGTTTTTCCTGTTTTGGGATTACAGAATTAATTTGGGAAGAGGCTGTGCCTGGTTCTCTGGAGCACTGTCCCCTTGCGTGGCAATGCAGTCACAGAATCATAGAATGGCCTGGGTTGCAGAGGAGCACAATGCTCATCCAGCTCCAACCCCCTGCTGTGTGCAGGTCACCAACCAACAGCCCAGGCTGCCCAGAGCCACATCCAGCCTGGCCTTGAATGCCTGCAGGGATGGGGCATCCACAGCCTCCTTGGGCAACCTGTTCCAGTGCCTCACCACCCTCTGTGTGAAAAACTTCCTCCTAATATCCAACCTAAACCTCCTCTGTCTTAGTTTAAAACCATTCCCCCTTGTCTGCCTTCAGTCCCCCTTCAGTCTGCCAGCATGGCACCATCATCCACCATCAGCACTCTGATGGTTCTGCATCCCTGTGAGTATCTCTGAGATGCTGTGCACAAGCAGACACCCTCACCTTGCCCATCAGATGGCTTGGAGCAAGGCTCAGCACCCAACCTTGGCCACTTTTCAACACAGGGCTTCATGTCCCGTTGTGAACCAAATTACACTGTCAACACTGGGGCTGCTCAAGGCACAGAGATAGCAGCAAACAAATCCCCAGCACAGTCCCTGCAGTGTGGAGTCCCAATTTGCTGCTCTGCAGCTGCTGGATGGGGCCTCACAGTTCCTGCTTAGGAGTCAGCAAACGCTGCCTGGCAGAGCTCCCTGCTGTAAATTACCCGCTGGGATCTATTAATCAATTAGCTCTGCTTTATGCATTTTAAGAGAAAAATAAAAGACCATTGTAATTTGCTCACACTTTAACGCTCCATTACCCTGCCAGAGCTGTGCAACAGAACCTGATAGGCTGATAGAGCACCTGCACCCATTGCAGACAGCTTCCAGCAGCCCTTCCTGCCCTGTGGCATTTCTTTGTCATCCCCTCCTTTGTCTTTATGCTAATCTCAGATTCGGCAGCAGAATTCAGAGCCACGGGGAGCCTGCCATTGATATTGACCCAAAGGCCAAACGGTTTTGCCTAATGAAACAACACCTTGTAAATTCCTGGAGAGAACAGGCTCCTGCTGCCTCCATGGGGAGAAGGAGCAGTTGATGTAGACTGTGAGATTTGGAAATAAGTATTTACATACTGAGATGCTTTTCTGGACTAGTGAGACTTCTTCTTTCTACTCTGGGAATGCCAGTGTCACTTGAGCTTTGCTTCACATTAACACCAACCTAGGAGATGGCTCCTGTCCCTCCTCTGCCAGTCCCTGGCCACCACTCCATGGCTTTCACTGCTTCTTTCCAGCTGGTGGTGGGATACTGCCACTAGAGCGGCATTTTGTGGGCACCTTAATGGGAAAAGAAAACCACTTTGGTTCAACTGGACTTTTAATACACAACAGATGATGGTGAGGCTGCTGAGAAGTTCCCTGAAAGGGCAGTGTGATGTGCAGGGACAGTTTTGTGTGGTGTGAGGAAAGCTCAACGCAGAAGAGCCCTGGATTCAAAACTTCCCCCAGTTTGAGTGCACGTTGCCTAAATTCAGCACTATGTCACCTGTGTGCAGAAATGGAGGTGGAGAAAAAGATGGTTATGTGACAAGGGTTTTCTAGGCCTTGAATTTCAGTTTCCTGTGCTTCAGTTTTCCCATCTGTAGAGTGGGAGGTGGTGCTGTCTCCTATCCTCCAGCACCAACTAGGAATCGTCTTAGCAAGAACTCAGAATGCTGAGTGCCAAGGGCCATGGAACCAAGAAGGGAATGGCAATGAAACAAATAGAGCTGCTCTGATTTACACTGGGGAAAAAGCAGAATCTGGGCACGCTGTCTCTGCTGTCTGGTTAGAAAGCTTTCTCCTGTTTTGGGCTCCCCATGTTCATGCTTCGCCTGTTTAAATTCCTGCTCCTTGCCTTTTGCTGCATTTCTGCACTTTCCTCTATTAGATCTACCCCTTCCCTCTTTCCTTTTCCCCTCAAATAGGTAAGAAATACGTAACTGTCTCTGTGGGAGACAGACCAGAGGAGTTCAAGAGGAGGTCCTGTTTTTGAAGTACGTCCTTGTACACATGGGGACATCACACCCACATGTGCAAGAGCCAGCAAAGACACCTGATGGCAGATTCAGAAATGGTTGTGCCTTCCTCAGCCATGCCCTGCTTTCCTGAGCTACTGAGTAACTCACAATCTTGTTTTCTTTTTTCCTTCCTTTTTTCCAGTGCCTTGGCTTTTCACGAAGAAATGCCTTCATGTGCAGTGGGCACAGTTGCCTTGCTCATGATCCTGGGCAATATATCATTACAGATGGAATGAGTTGCACAGACTGTCAGGTTAGGTTTCTTACCTTTGCGGATCCGTTCTGTGCTGCCCTCTGTGGCAGGATCAGCTGCCTGGAAGAGATGTGGGAGAGTGGGTGGTTATTCTGGGAGCAGAGCACTTCTGTGTTCAAGCAGATCACTGATTTACTGTTGGATCTACAAGTTTCCATTGCATTACTGAAAGGCAATGCAGAGCTAGCACCAGGTGTTACAGAGCACACGGCTCCAATGGAGCATCACGGGGCAGGGACTGCTGAGGAGCACAGCCCTCCAGCAAGCTCTCTGTGCTTGGCCAAATTAGAATCACAGAATCATTAAGGCTGGAAAAAATCTCTAGGTTGGACATCAAGTCCAACCATCAACCCATCCCACCATGCCCACTGACCACGTCCCTCAGGGCCACATCTCCACTGTTCTTGAAAAACTCCTTCCTCACTCATTCTTTGTCACAGTCTATAGAAATCTGTTTTTCTGACATAGTAATTCTCTAATGTGCGGCTTTTGTTTGTGTTGTTTTGGAAGCAGAAGTCCTGAAAGCTCCAATGTGGCTTTGAAACCTTGGAGAAGGACAGAGTGGGACTGGACACCCATCAGAGCCAGTGGGGTTCATCTGTGGTCCTGCTTTTTTTCTGTTCTCTTTCTGTTTCACCTGGCAGAAATGAGGCAGACTGCATAGATGGGAGACAGCTTCATCCATGGTGTGCTGGAGATCTCAAGGGACTTAAAACATGAGTACTTTATTTCTAAGTGTAAGTATAAGGTGTGGTACAAGAAGAAAGAAGACATTTGAACAGTGAGATAAGCCGTGCTGTGACCATTTCTGATACTTAGATGTTGAAGAATACATTTAATTAGACTTTGGCCTAACCATAGTTGAAGTGCAGAGCCATGTCTGCTCCAGGCAAAGCAATGTTACCATTTGGTCTAACAGCAAAACATTGTGTACCACAGATACAGATTGTGTAGCTGCTTTGTGATTTGGGCATCTCATATTTGTTTGCCTGTTTTCTCTTCTCACACTTATGTAAGACCAGGGAACCGTTATCTGTTGCTGAGCCAAAGACTTTCTCCAGGTGATCTTCCCAAGGAATGCGGGAAGGCTGCTGGCTTAGGAGCTGAACAGCAACCTAGATCTGTAGTTTGGCAAATTTGGCATTTACAGGCCTCTTGGTCCTCTGCACAACGTCCTCCCTCCAAAAATCTCCTGGTTCCCCTACGCATGTCTCATCAGATGTGGGAGCAGTTCTGACTGACAGTACTGCACAGGAGAACTGCTGGATCCTCTCTGCTCATGTCCTGGACCCTCCTATAGGGCTGTCTCTGTCACACACACTCAAAGCTTGGGGAAATGTTACCTTCCAATGCAATCTACAAGCATTTCTGTACTCTGCAAGGAATTAAAGGCCTTCATACATGGCACAGAGAGATGCTGTATCCCCATGCTGAGTGATATCAGGCAGCAAATCCTCTGCTGCCTGCCAAGTGCTCGGTATGGTGATGGAGGTGTTGTTGTCAGGAGGCATTGGCCCAACAGCCCTTCCTCAGAGACATGCAGGATGGGGCTGGTGGCTCACAGCTTGCTTTGTAGCCAGGGCAACAGGAAAAGAATGAAAACAAATTGACGTATTGTATCCTCACCTGGAAAGTTCCCCCGTGGCTGAAAACAGCAGACACTAATGCAGTTCATTTTGGTGGCAACTGACGAGGCATTCAAATAAAGCTTTAGAGTTTTCTCTGAAATACCACTTAGCATTGCTGTTTGCTAACAGCACATTGCTGTAATGGTGCAATATGGAGTAGAAAGACACGCACTTGGAGCTCAAGGAAGTTACATGCTATAACCCCAGCTCGGGAACAATTCAGTACAATAAATTCACCCTGCCTGGGTGTTGATGATGAAGGATCTCGGTCTTTACTTGGCAACAGAAAGAGAAAATAATAAAGTGCACAGGAAAGTCATTTCTTTCTTCCTTCCCTTAAATATTTACAAGTAATTTTACCAAGCTGAGACACGCTGGTGCTGTTACAGAATCACAAAATACCCCGAGCTCGAAGGGACCCACAGGGATCACTGAACCCAACCCAGCCCACAACAAGTGGAGAAGCTGCTGTCACGAGCAACTGCCGGAGTTTTCTCCTTTTTGTCAGGGCTGTCCGCCAGAGGGGGCCAGCAGGCTCCGGTGGGACAGCCCGTGTGCTTGGGAGGTTGGAAACAGGACCGCGACAAAACGCAGAGCGGTGATGTGCTGTCCCACATTTCACCCCAAATCCGTTCACAGAGCTGCACCCCGTGGGCTGGGTGTCCAGTGCAGCATAGCTTGCAGTGCAGTGTAAGATCTCATTAAGATTGTGTGCCTAATAATTATTTTCATCCTTAAACTTTCACTGATTTCCACTCTATGATAGAGAGTTCGTATTATATCCATATTCTCCCTGCATATATAGAGATCTACATAGATGTGTATATATATACATATTCACACAAGAGCAGTGGGCTGCAGCAGGCAGAAGTGTGGGCTTTGGGGCCCTCCTAACAGGATTGAGAAGTAAAATGTAGGCAAAGGTCTTCTCTGCAGCAACTGTTCTCATCTGAGAGAAAAACAAAGTCAGTTCTGAGAGATGTAGATCAGTGAATGGCCCAAAGCCAGCTGCTTCTGCGGATGAAAGCTGAGAACTAAACTGACTTCAGTTCTGAATGTTGTTCCAAAAAAATGTCACTTCCCAGGTCTGACACTGCGCACCAGTGCCTTTCTTGAAAACAAAATATCTAAGAGAAAACTTCTTGGGGCACTGGAAATTGCAGGGAAATGAATAATCTGTGTTGTACCTGATTCAGAGAAACAGCTTTGGAATAATGGTTGACTGTTGTTGTTGTTGTTGTTCTGGTCTTTCACATATATTTCTGTTGCTCAGATCACCCAGATTTTGGGTGAGGGAAGAGCCTTGCTTCTACACAGTTTGATTTTCCCCTTCTCAATACACCCTCCTTCACCCTGAATTAGGCAAGCACAAATTCATCAAACAGGTGAAGAAAGATGAGCAGACAGCTTCCATGCTGCTGCAATGGGGCTCGGGGGCTGTGTGTTCTGCATGCCACCAGATGCCTCCACTTAATGCAGTGGCAGCCAAGACATGGGTCCCCAGGCCAGCACTGTGCCTGTGGTCCACTTGTAGAACCCAGCTGACATCTGGAGAGAAAACCAAATCACCCTAAAGGGTTGATCACGTAAAATGTTGATCCTCTCTTGAGAAGATACAGAGGTATGAAGCCAACTGGTGATGGTTTATTCCCTACAGCAACTGGACTCCCATAACCACACAACCCCCAGCCCTGGAGCTGCCGGAGTCAATGCTACAGGATGCTCAGCCCAGCCATGACTGCATTCTGCCCAGCCTTACACTGCCGTTGCCACCAGGAGCCAATTGGTTTTGGAGCAAGCCCTGGTGATTCCTGAGGAGCCTCTCACACAGGATCAGAAACTCATGCTTACTCCCTGGTCTATCAACTCAAGATGGAGATGAATGGAGAATGACCAGATGATCTTAATGATTCAGCCTTAATGATTCCAGCCTTAATGATTCTATGACTGCTGCTTCTGGACTGAGGGTCTCTTGGTTCCCCAAGAACAAGAAGCGATTTATGTTTTTGCTGCCCAGTTCCCCTCATACTGTAAAACTGCAGCTCTGTTTCTCACGTTTCTCTCACCCCTCAGCTTCCTGCCTTCTCGTTAAGCCAAGCTGTGTTTCCAAAGCAGCTGCAGTAATGTCATTACTCTTTTAAATGAAAATCTCAACTCTTTCAGTAATATTGTTCCTCTGGCAACTGGTCTAACTGCATTTATCCTGATGGAGAGGTAATTTAATGCTTACTTTCATAATAAGCACAAATGAAAGCCTAATTATATAGGAAAGCTCTGGCAATTCTGTAATTATCCAAGCTGTTATTTTAAAGATCTCCCTTAATATGCCAATATTTATCACCTGAAACCCCCCATGTCTCATTCTAACTGTGCACAAACTGCTTCCCTTTTGGAAGAGCACTGATTTCAGGTAAATGACTCCTCACTGATACAACTTAAAGAAGCATCAGTCAAGCTTTAATGGCTTAATTTCTTGGTAATGTGCATACACGGACACACAGATTGCACAAGATCAATTTAGTAAGAGAATATATTGCACTGGGAGATCATACTTTGTTTTCCATGGCCAGCTCCCTTCAGCAGCCCCATGCTGGTGCTTTCTCTCTCTGAATCTTTGTGGAGATCCTTCAGCACTCAGATTTTATGTGTAAAAGCTATAAAATTTCTAATGTGGCATTTAAAGTTCTTTCCTGTCTCCAAGGAAGACCCATAAACAGAGGTGACACACAAACCAGGTATCACACACTGAGGCACTGATGTACCTCCACTGCACTTCTACGATCCAGCTGGACAGAAGGTGGATTGACTCTTGCACTATGAGCTTTCCAATTCCATTCTCAGAGAAGACACCACATGCTAGAAGTTAACCCATGGAGGAAGGATTTGTTTTTTTGAAAATTCTTTCATCTCCCTCTTTTTTCTGCCTTTTTCTCCCCCTAATTCCTGTGTGCATTCATAACAGGGGCCAGAAACTGACCTTCCAGCCGTGGGATAATTCTAGATCAAACTAGTAGAAGTTTATATTTAAAAGATAAATAAATAAGAAAAGAAAAAGATAATGAGTGAAGTGAGAATTGCTTACCGTCCTCCGGATAACTAATACCATGACGGTGGCTAACGCAAAGACGAGCAATGCAACAAGGGTAGCGATGATGAAATACAAAAAAGTTTTGTTAGTGGCTCCAAGCCTCCTTGAAACGGTGCCTTCATTCACATGCATGGCTGATTCATAGGAGTCTTTCATCTGAAAAAGTGTTTGCTCTTGTGCCAAGCACCTTCTTATATAGCTCTCAGGGTACTGGTCTGTATCTCCCCTTGATCAGGTTCAGGTCGCAGCCCATCTCTGTTCCTGGCAGGATTTTCCCCTTCATCCTGGCTCATGTGATCTGGAAAAAAAACTTCATCACTTGTGGTACAAAGAATGAGGGAGCTGGGGGCGTGAAGCAGGTCGCAGCTGTGAGGAGGGGAAGCAGCTTCATGTTCGTGATCAGGGATTTCGCGACAGCAGTCTTGTGTGTTGCATCAGAGGTTTCTGATGTCAGAAGGTGAATGGTTACTAAGATCAGTGCCCCCTCCCTGCTACTGGTTTTCCGTGAAAAAGAGAGCTATGCAAATTTTGTTTCATTTTATACTCAGTGCAGCTCTAGTTCGGTGCAGTACGCTGCCTGGAGCGCTGCCTTCCTGTTGCATAGAGCAACCTCTTGTTCTCCTCCGTACCATCCCAGTACCGTGATCTCCAGAGCTCTGCATTCAGAGATCATAGAATCATAAAAGTTGGGAAAGACCTCTAAGATTATCAAGTCCTACCATCAACACATCCCCACTAAAACATGTCATTCAGTGCCACACCTCTATGTTTCTTCAATACCTGCAGAAATGGTGACTCCACCACCTCCCTGGGCAGCTGTGCCAGGGCCTCACCATTCTTTCTGAGAAGTTTTCCCTAATATCCAACCTGAACCTCCCCTGATGGACCTAACGCCATTCCCTATCATCCTATTGCTGTTACCTGGTAGATGAGGCTGACCTCACCTTGCTACAACCTCCTTTCAGGCAGTTGTAGAGAGCATCCTGGACTGATCCATCCCAGTTACCATAGCCACTCTCCATCACACTTGTGCTCCAGACCCTTCACAGCTCTGTTGTCCATTTCTGCACACTCTCCATCCAGGGCCTCGATGTCTTTCTCGTAGTGAGGGGCCCAACACTGAACGCAGCACTTGAGGTGTGGTATCACCAGTGCTACCAGTAAGAGGGATGATCCCCTCCCTGTCATGCTGGCTGCACTATTACTGACACTGGCCAGGATGCCATTGGCCTTCTTGACCACCTGGGCAGATTGCTGGCTTATGTTCAGCTGGCTGTTGATCAGCAGTCTCAGATCCTTTTTCTCCATGCAACTTTTCAGTCACTCTGCTCCAGTCCTGTAGCAATGCGTGGGGTTGTTGTGAGATAAGTGCAGGACCTGGCACTTGGTCTTGTTGAACTCCATCCTATTGGCCTCAACCCATCAATCACCCTGTCCAGGTCCCTCTGTAGGGCCTTCTTATGCTCAGGCACTTCCTCCCAACTTGGTGTCATCTGCAAATTTACTGGATGCACTCAGTCACTCATTCAGGTCATCAATAAAGATACAGGACAAGACTCAGTACCAACAGTACCCTGTGGAACATCACTCATAACCAGACACCAGCTGAATGCAGCTCCATTCACCAGAATACTCTGGGTCAGGCCATCCAGACAGTTTTTTTAGCCAGCAAGGAGTCCAAGCCATGGGCTGCAGCTTCTCCAAAGACAGAGTCAAAGGCTTTACTAAGGTCTGGACAGACTATGTCCACAGCCTTTCCCTCATTCACACAGCAGATCACCCCATTATAAAAGGAGATTGGGTTGGTCAAGCAGGACCTGCCTTTCAGGAACCCCGTGCTGGCTGGGTCTGAATCCCTGCTTGTGCTGCGCATGCTGTGTGATTGCACTCAAAGTGATCTGCTCCATGACCTTCCCTGTCGAGGTCAGGCTGGCAGGCTTGCAGTTTCCCAGATCTTCTTTTCTTTCATCCCCTCTTTAGGTGGGTGCCACGCTGGCAGGTCTCCATTCTTTTGTATTGCTCCTGCCTCTGAAGGTCTGCAGGTTTTCACAGAAATGCATCAGGAAGGTGCCTTTGGTACAGGATGCAATTTTTAGGCAAAGGCAGAGAAAGAAAGAAGTCACAACAAAGTAGACGAGCACAATGTCAGGATGTGCCCACAGAGAATGTCTGTATTCACCTCCATGCTCTGACTTATTCGCAGCTGATCAATCAGCCCTGGCTTCTCTCTTGCCCACGATTCTCTCCTCAGTTCTAGACTGGTACCAGCATTTAGCCATGGGGTTTCTCACGGAACCCAAGTGAGATTTCTTTCACTGGAAGTATTTCCACTCCTTTTCATGGTGGAATCTTCAGTAACTCCTAACCCTGCACTTTTTATGCGAGGTGAATCCTTGCTCTCAGACTAGTCCAACTCCAGAGACACTTGGTTGTCTTGACAGTTTTTGCAGTTAAATGAGTGCCCTCTTTTGATTCATATTTATTGAAGCCAGATAACTTGTATCAGAACCAGATGATGAGGGGTATTTTGTCTTAGCTATTCTCAGTCCACAATCAGTGACATAAGTTCATCAGAATGGCCAAACAGGATCTTACCAACGGCCCATCTAACCTAGCAACTTGCCTTCAGTAGAGCACAACCAGAGCACAATGCCTCGTGAAAGATGTCAGAACAGAAAAAGCAGGGAAAGTTATTTATTGACTATAATTATCCAGGTTTCTCTGACTTCGGCATATAAGAGTTCCAAACCAGAGGTAGTACTTTTCTATTTAATCCAGTTCTGCTTAACTGCAGTGACTAGCAGCATCTACTATGCTTGAAAAGATCTTAAGCATCTCTTGCACATAGCCGAGCAGGTATTTAGCTCAGCAAGGAAAATGACTTACAAGAGGATAATGGTGTTGTAGTTTTAAGAATGTCACATCATCTTCGGCTTCACGAGGAGAGCACCGTGAGCTTACAGGTTTTTGTGGCTGCACAGAGATGTGCATGGTCAGCTCCTTTTACAGGGGCAGAACACTCGTGCTAAATCTACATGTAAGTAGAAAAGCAGATGCTGCAGAAACATGGAAAAAATTAGCTCCTGTCCTAAGAAGTGCAATCCAGATTAAATCTAGCTTGTTAGTTTCTAAAATAAATTCAGTCAGCCCATTAGCACGGCATTTGAAAGCAACAGTTTCTCGTGATCAAGCAATGCTGAGATCACAAAAAATAAAATAAAATAAAAAAAATTAGGAGACACAGAGCATCAACATTGTACAGTAGAGGTTACTAAGGCAGGAAAAACCTAAGACTGTCCCAAGTAACAGCAGGATGAATAGATTAGTCCCATCTTTCACTGAGGAGGGTGAAATACCTTGAAATACAGAAGGGAAATGTTGCTCAGCTGAGGCAAGTGTGCTGCTAAGGCAGATGGTGATTTTCAATCAGGACAAGAATGCAGGATGAATGAGTGCTTCTACTCCTGCAGTTCTATCTTAGGCAGTAAATAACCACCTCACCCCCCTATCAAGCTGGTGGTGATGCACTTTCAAACATAACTTCAGTACAATGCTCTGTTACCCTTTACATCCAACATCTCTCTATAGGGTTACCACACCACCTGCCTGATAATGCTTCTTTCCCAAAGCTGAGGTCACTGCTTTCATGCCTTCTCACCAGCATTGCATCCATTCTCACAAGCCCTGGTTGAGAGGCCAAATAGCATTGATTCTTAATATGATGCACCTGCTGCATCCTCTGCAGCAAAGAGCTTTACTTAAAAGGACAGGGAGGGAGAAAACGGATGAACCACAAAACCAGCAGTTCTAATGATTTCTTGGTAGAGTTTTCAAGTGAGCGTCTTTAGCAGAAAAGTACAAAATATCCTATCCCCTTATTAATATTTAGTTATCTCCTTCGCTGAAAGGAACCAAACTGCTGAGAACTGAAAGCACATCCATGTGGTCAACAGAAATTCACCTTTGTTTGAAGTCTGTGAGAACTGAAAACCCTTCTGGCAGACATTAAAGGCCAGTTCTGCAGAGACGTGTGGCCCAGTGACACTGAAATCCAGAGGTGTGAAGAGAACAAATGCCTTTGGGAGTTTCTGTTTTTATCCTCAATGGGAGCAGTGTCTGTTTCTTATCAAACCATCATTCACCTTTACATCCATACAGTTTGCTACCAGTGCCCCGTCCTGAGCTTTGAAAGACTTAAGAGGGCTCAGAGAACGTTCACCACAGTGGATCGTTAATTACTGTGAATGCTTCCTAGCTGTGCCCCAATTAAGGGTCTCAGGCAGCAAACATGGGGCAGTCGGGCTCCTGCCTTCAAAGAGGCTGAACTGCACCCAAGTGCACATGCGGATGCTTTGTAAATCACTTGAAATGGAAATGCAACCTCAGTAAACCGAGGTTAGTGCAAAACATCATTGGCACTCAGGGTATGAATCATAGGTTTTTGAATTTCCTCCGATGAATCACTCTCCTGTGTTGTGCTTTGCTGTTGTGTTTGTCCCCAGCACCTCAGCCCAAGCTGAAGGAGATGGGGCAGGGTCCTCCTGCTGAGCAGGACCCAAAAACTGTGGCATTGGATCCCATAGGAGTGGCACACGAGCTTGCAACCATGGATCAAAGAGGTCTCAACCACCTTACCTTACCTTTACTGATGCGTGGCAGGGAACGTTTCCTGTTGGTTGAGATGGTTATTATGGGATTCCCGTGGAAAATCAGCAATTCGGCTGTGACAAAGATTTCTTTTATATAATATGTCTTAGTAGCTGTGCCTATTCATTTCCTCCTGATCCAAGGTAGGTCCCAGCACGAAGTAAATGACACTCCAGCATCACACTCCCAATGCTGCTGTGATGATACTGTTGGCAGATGCTGTAACGCAGTTTTCTGAGGAAGGCTCTGCGTGTCTCTCATCCAGGCTTTCTTCTGCTTTTGCAACACATTGGAAGGTTTCCAAGAATAGCAGCATTCTTTTCTCATTTTGCTTCTTCTCCAATAAAATTGCTGAGTAAAAATAGGCACCAGACAGGAGGAAAATAAGAGAGAAAAAGATAGGTTAGAGCTGCTATTGCACACTATTACCTCCTTGGGAAGCTAAGCAGTGTTTATTCATGCTGTGCAACTGTTTTCCTTGTTGAAAAGAATTATACCACTCAGCCTTGTAAGGCAATAGAAAAAGAGGTAAATTAAATTAGCTGAAAATTGGCTATAGAGGGAAAGACATCTTCTTATACTGGGGGTGATACGTAACATCCATTTGCCTGGAAGTGCAGGTAGAAAGCAGAGGCATTAAGATTGACAATAAAATGCAATAATAAAGCAGTACAAATGGAACAGTTGTAAAAGTGCAGTAACTCCCACAGGTTTGTCAGAGTGCGTCTGTTCAACTGGAGTCCCAGGAATCCCAGGCAGC